GCAAAATGATAAGGCTCCAGGTCCTTTCACACATTTCCCAGTTTGCTCTCCAACTTCTGACCCACACCTTATAGTTTCCCCCTTTTCCTACTTTGACTTTTTTTTTCAAACAATCCATTCTGCATCTGTTCATGTTATTGTGAGATGTTTTTAGGTGATTTTAGAGAATAATCTAGTAGAAAATATTTTCAGAAAACTTCACAATTTTCTCTGTTTGGTTTAAATGTGACCTCCATTTGTGTCATTGGTAATTTCCCCTCTTCACAACTTGTTACTTTTGCAGTTTTGCACTTGTTGTAACTTTACAAATGAATTATACAGACAATTATACGAATTACTGCATATTGTTATTTTTATAGTCATTGTGGCCATATCAAGGCCCGAATATTTTGATGTAGGAAGTGATGGATAATATACCATAGAATATTTCATAATAATCCACATTTTAATTACCATTTTTCTTAATAATTAATGAAACAATTTAATTACAACACTCAAAAGGAAAACAGAATGACCGATCTATAAGACATGGAATGATCGATCGATGTTAGAAACAGTACTTAAAGTAAACTAGCTCCATAGATGGCTCTGTTTAGAAAGGAAACAGTTAATCAGACAAATTAGGAACTGATGAAAGTGAGACAAACATAGTCAGTAAAAAAAAAAGATGAGCCCTTGGCTATGACTGGAAGAGAACAGGATAAAACACTTAAGTGATGTTGTTTTGTTGCAGCCACTAGAAATTAATTAAACATTAACTGGAGGACAGAGACTGTAAACTATGCCTCTATCTGACAGATCAACCCAATTAGAGCAGTAATTATACCAAGATTGTAAATAAATATAAACACTTTGCATTTAATGTATAAAAAAAGAAGAAAAAAAAAACAGTGTCTGTCAATAGGCTCTATCCAGAACTCCTCATGTGGAAAGATTTGAGTTTCACCTGGTTTAATTTTGTCAAGTCTTCTGGAGGAATCTTTGGCTATCTGATTATTAATCGATTAATGGAGAAAAAAAAACAATTGACGAATTAATCGATTGGCAAAATAAAATCTAAACAATGCATTATAATAATATTGAATCTTAAACCCTTAAGCTGACAAGCCCCTCTTCACAACTTTTTAACTATTGAATGGAAGAAAATAGTATTTATCCCTGGTGTAGAGATAACCTGGTTATTTTTCTGAGACTTTCATAAGCCCCCCTCCCCCCACACCGAAACCGCCACTCCTCACACACACACACATACACACACACACACACACACACACACACACACACAC